CCCCCCCCCCACTCCATTATTAACTCTCTCCTTGTAGGCCCAGCACTTAGGACTGATGACTCCGCTCGTCATGCATCGATTTTGCATACAGCATCTGTTAACCACATGGCACCGACATCCTCAGGTATCTCAAAATCAATCTTCAAGCCTCGACACTCAGTTCATCTGGGCATGTTCAATGTCCACACTCTGAAGCAAGTAAGACAACAAGCTGCTCTTGCACTCAGGACGGACTCGCTTGGCATTGATGTGTGCTGTGTTTCAGAAACGAGGATTCAAGATGCACACACAGTGACTAAGTTAACCGCTCAGTGTCCACTTTCAGAAACGAGGATTCAAGATGCACACACAGTGACTAAGTTAACCGCTCCATCAGTGTCCACTCGCTTCCGGCTGCGCACCTCCGGTGAACCGGAGGCTGCGGCAGCGGGATGTGCGAGGGTTGATAACATCCTAAGTCACCGGGCAGAAATATCCTTGCTTGACTGGATACCTGCTGATAGTCGCCTTTGTGCGGTTCGTTTGGCAAAGTCTGTGAAGGAGTCTCACAAGCGGCAAGTTGATAGATGTCTGTTTACCGTGTCTGCCTATGCCCCAACTGACTGTAGCTCCGATGCCATCAAAGACAGGTTTTAGTACTCCCTGAATGCCCTACTGTGTCGACCTGAAAGCTCAGACGTCGTTGTGGTTGTCGGAGATACAAACGAACAAGTGGGCAAGCTTAGCGTATCTGAGACGGAAAATATGGAACGATTGCCTCAGCTGTGTGCTGATCGCAGGCTGTTTTTATGCATTACCAACTTCCGAAATGGCCGTAGTCGTCTGGCCACTTGGTGTCCTCTAACGTCATACTGCCCACAAACTCAAATCAATCACGTTGCCACTGACTACCGATGGCGCGGATTAATGACTGACTGCCGGTCATTTTGAGACACATTTGTGGATTCTGACCACGCAATGGTCCGGAGTCGCTTCTCTCTACGTTTCCCTAGGCTGCGTAAGGTGCGAACAAATAGCTTAGCAACTGAGAGGCTGGCAGATCCGGATGTTAGACGAATTTACCAGAATCGTCTTCTAGAGCCTCTTTCAAATGCTCCACCACTAGATATGAACACATACTGGGACGACATTGCCACCTCTTTGCATAATGCTGGGAATTTCGCCTGTGGCACGGCACCACCAGGCGCGCACAAGCACTGGATATCAGACCGAACGGATGCACTGCTTAAATTTCAGAAAAATATCCCAGTCGGTCCCAAACATAACCCAACGCGAGGAATTATCACATGCCAAGTGAAAGCGAGCTTGCGAACCGACCGTGAAGTTAGGTGGACACAGAAAGCCGGTAATGCCCGAAGATTATTTCAGTTGATCCGTGCGACCAGTCCCCGGAAACCACTAAACATTATAATGAAACGACCATCTCGAATAAAGAAGAACGCCTCGACCGGTGGGCTGAATACTTCGAACAACTGTCGTGGCCACCAGCTGGCACTCATCTAGAGCCCACAGGTGAAGTAGAACCCTGGACGGTGAACGTGGAACCACAAACGGCCTCGGAGGTTTACGACTGCATATGTTCTCTCAAGCGCCACCGAGCTCCTGGTCCGGATGACCTCCCACCCGCAGTGTTCAAAGACAGGGATAAAGTCCTCGGTTAACGCTTGTCTGATCTGTTTGTTTGCGTTTGGGAAAAGGGGTCTGTCCCACACAACTAGGGAGAGTCAGTGATGGTGCCCATTTTCAAAAATGAGCTCGTAGTGAGTATGGTGACCACAGGATGATCAGCTTGACCCCGGTCATAACGAGACTGTCAATTTTACTTCGTCGTCTTATGATGGTTCATGAGACACTGACTCGAGAGCAGAAAGCATGATTCCTGCCTGGTAGGGGTTGTGCTGACCAAACCTTCCTACTCCGCTAGGTGCTAGAACAACGCCATACGTATAATCGACCCATAATCCTAGTATTTCTGGATTTCCGAGGCGCATTCGACTCGGTTGATCGGTCTATTCTTCTTGACACGCCTGCCCACCAAGAATGCTCCGGACGTTTGTGAACACAATAAGCTCTTTGTATTCCCAGACTTCCGGACGTGTGAGAGTGTACGGAGAGCTCTCCAGAAGCTTCCCTACATACAATGGTGTCTGTCAGGGAGGCCCACTCTCCCAATTCCTGTTTAACTTTGTGATCGATGAAATAATGAGACGAACGCTGGAGGGTCTCCAAAACCCTGATGTTCAAATAGCTCGTGAACAAAATTTCGTCGATCTGGAGTACCATCGTTCTCATGTTCGAAGAGGAGGAGAAGGCGCAAGTTTTCTTGGATGAACTGACAAAAGTCATCCCGTCCTTTGGTATGCACTTTGCACCCACAAAGTATAAGGTCACGCTCGTGGACGCGCAGTCACTGAATACGCCACTTACAATCCTGGGAGAGGTACTGGAAGTTGTGGAGCGTTTTACGTATCTTGGAAGTTGTATTAGTTCTGACTGTATTGCGACAGATGAGTTAAATGCACGAATCTGCAAGGCCCAGATCGCGTTTGCTAACTTGAGACACCTATGGCGTCGGCATGGTTTACCCATGAATCTCAAGGGACGTGTGTATCAAGCTACGGTGCGGGTTTTTTGTTGTATGATTATGAGACACGGCCTGTTCGAGCAGAGGAACTGGGACGTCTTCAGGTGTTCGATAATCATTGTCTCAGAACCATAGCTCGTGTGGGTTTGTGTCGGCGTATCCATAACGAGGCAATTAGAAAGCAAGTTTTCGGTTGGGCTATAGGAACTTCCATCGAAAAGTGTGACCAACCCCGAAAGTTGCGTTGATTAGGCTATGTATTGTTATGCCGAACCATTGTTTGTTTAAGAGAGTGCTGTTTTCCATGACCAATTCAGAGTGGCGGAACCAGAGAGGTGGCCAACCCTTGAGCTGGTAGACGGGTATGAAAGGAATCACGAGACATTTGTGTGCTGTCGGTGCTATTTCCAGGATGGGGACCGCGTGATCCCCACTGCGCCTGGTTGGAGACGCTGCAAGATATGACTGACAACGGATGTCAGTGGCGGTCTTGTTGTCAGTTTCTATCCAGATTGCCTGAATGGATGTTCGGAGGTATAGGCACTTTGGAATAGTAGTAAGCTAGCACTATGTCCCTTCCCCGTCCACCTTTATTCTTTTCTTTACAACAAGGCTTTCAAATAAATCATGGTTGTACGGCGGTGAAGCATCGGTGTTGAACACTATTGTCAGGCTGTCGATGATGATCTTTGGAGGAGCAATTTTCGGAGCTTCCGTAAGCGGATGCCACCTCATAAAACCCATCCAGAGCAATGTGTGAGAACGCCCAACATTGTTCAGGCCTATTGGACGGTGGATCACGCACGAGGCAACCACTTGAAAATCCTGGAGTTCAACCCGAGTTCACAAGATGGAAGCAGGTGTGTTGGTGAAAGACCGCAACATTCTACGGCAATTGCCCAACTGCATAGATCAGTTAGTCTCCTAATGAACCAGACGACAGGACTTTTCTCGACACGTGAAGACGCAATTCCCAAGCCACTGACGGTGAAAAGAATCAACTGAATAAGCCACATACATGCACATTGGCGCACCCAAGTCCCCTAATGACTAGGTCTTTTGTTAAAGTACCCTCTGCATCGATCGTGTAAGGACAGCTTTCTAGCAAATAAAAGCAATGAGACGAAGTAAATCAACCTAGAGTCAAACAAATCTGCCATTCGTCCCGCTCTTTCCTCCAGTCATCAGACTCAGGCTCCAAGAAATAAATATCGCTGTAGGTCACAGTTTATATACCACTGCTTCCTGGCGCGACTGCTTATGCAGTGAGGCAACATGCCGCTGAGATACGAAAGGGTTGGGCACAATCCAGCATTGATATTGATGCTTCACTGTTTTACAGCCACAAAGTTTGTTTAATTATACTTAAAGCCATAAAGCGAAAAGAAGGGAAAGGAGTGAATGAAGAAGGGTACTGATGTTTCACTGCCATACAAGAGTGTCGACCTATGTGAACAGAGTCTGAGAATGAAAATAGAGACAGGGTGTACGCTTTGGAAGTAACCAAAACCTTATTCATTATGCAATTGACTTACCCTCATCATCCCAATCGACTTTGTCTCCGCCGTAATAAGGATTGCTGCTGGTACGCTTCTTTGAAGTTTGTTTGGACTTCTAAGAGACAAGGAGTAAGTAAACGTTGAACTACCATCGCATGACTGGGCTCACAACAATACCTCAAGATGCGACCGAAAAAAAAGTTCAATGGCGTGGTTGGCAAGAGCTCAGCGAAAAAGGCTGGAAAAGCAAAAAATATGGAAAGAATAATCGTATTGTACTTCCAGTGCTGTTAGGCAGGAATCCACGCGGATCCCACTATACCGCACGTCTTTAGGCGCTGCTACGGCCGAGAAGCTTGTCCGCTCGAGGTTGGCCCAAAATTCGGGACGCTTGCCGGTCCGGCATCAAGGCGAGATCTGATTGGTCAACAATCTGGACCCAACAGCCAATCATGACCCAGTATTGGCCAAATGCCGGTTGCCAATGGAGCTCCAGAACG